TCTTCTTCTTCTTGTTTACTACTGGTGGTTGGCTTTGGTCGCAGTACCGCCACCTTCTGCTCTGGAGTGTAATCGCTTCACCTATGAGAAAAAGGAGCAGCGGATGAACCGAACGCAACACAGACAGTACCGAGACAGTCGAACCGAACGGTTCGGACGGTTTTCATAAACCATTCCATCCCTAATATATACAGAATTTAATCTCATTTCAGAACTAAATTTTCTGTTATAAGGGGTAAAGAGAAAATGATGTCTCTGCAAGTCATCTAGGAGTCTTCAGTGGAAAAAAAAAATAGAATAGTAGATAAAAGTACATGTAAATATAAATTTTATGCAGAACAATTTTTGATAAAAGTGGGCAAGTGATGACTATGGAAAAGATTTTTTTCCCCAGATATATCGTCCACTATACCTTTAATTTAGAAAGCATGGATGTTTAAATATGAGTCTATTTAACAGAACAAGTTCCTTACAGTTTATTGCTTTTTGATATCTATTTTTTTCCTTCTTTAACATTGGTGTAATAAAATCAGTGTACATTGGTTATTGCCTGGACACCCCTATTAAAATGTTCTGGCTCTGGGAACAAAGTGCTAATAATTCGTTACCTTAAGTAGAAATGTTTTCTATCTATACTTTATTGGAATAATTAGTCTTTAGACAACTTTTTCCTTCTACTCCTTATATTTTAAAAATAGACTCATTAGTTTAGTTTCATTTCAGCTCATTTTCATTCTGGCCTGTTGGTATTTAAATAACATAAAACCATCAAAATAAACCAGACGATTAATTTCATTGTGGTTGAACTGGGTGCTGCCCCAACCCGTTGCTCACCACATATGAAATAGTTTCTCACAGTGATGCAAAGTTAAATTTAACACTGTTACCATTAGTTACAAAACTAAGAAAATTAAGTCTAAGGAAGTTTTCATCCAGAATTGTAGAAAAATGTTCCTTTAATAGAGTAGAGCAGTAAAACTTCTGTCCTTAACAGTTTTTCCTGCATTACTTTTTACACTTTACTGGATTAAAAAGCTGAAGTTGATCCTCTAACTTCTACTAAAGTGTTTTTAAACAGCCGGATTTCTACTTCTACTGGACTAATATTAATAATTTTGATGCCTCTCTAATGCAGCGCGTTGCCTAAAGGTCTGGTTTGTAACGGCTCTAAATGGAAAATGATTCTGCACCGCCTTTTTAAATTGAGGAAATTAAGCTTATATTTAGTTCTGCTTTGCTTTTGCCTTTTCTTCCAAATGCTGTGCTAGATTTTACTTTCTATTATCCGTACGCCTGCTGGGCTTTCACGCCGTCGTTGGTAAGTTATATACTCCCAGTTTGCTGTTTGTTTCTGGAAAAAGACGAAAACTAAAAATAACTTTCAGCTTTTTTACCTTGACATTAGTAAAAAAAACACACCTAGCAGTGGAAATACTGATTTGTTAAATGTAGTGTACTTAAGCTTAACCTTTCCACCTGCAATAACACATTGGTGTAATTCCCTCAGACAGATTAAAGTGGTTTTATTTTACTGGTTTATTTGAAGTTGCTCTTGATCCTCTTTAATCCACCGTGAAAAATCATTGGCTGAGGAAAAAAAAAAAAAAGGAACTATTAAAGAATCTTTAAGTTTTTTTTTTTTTCATAAATGTCTTTTTGCACTGATCTAGCAAAAATCTTTAATATCTGCTTAATTGTTTCTGCTGCGAGATCAAAGGAGACCTTTTTAGATTTCAAAATAAGTGCTTTCTCTAAACTTCAAAATAAAAGCTGGATACAACTAAAAAGAATTCTAATTGGACAATTGCCTTTGAATAAAGGATAAAACATGAATTATTATATATTATTGTCAATATTTTTATTTATTATTAATATACAAATAATTATGTATGTATAATTAGCATAGATACAAAAATACAATTGGTGTATAAACTTCTATTATCATGAATTAAAAACCAAAGTAAACATTCCTAATGGAGCATGAAGATTTTATTTTTAAGGTGGTTTTTTTTCATAATCTGCTAAGCTAGGGTTTATCATAGAAGGAAAAACCCAAAAATCTTATGTTCATTTGAGATTATTTCCAATTATTCACTTTAAACACAAACTTGTACTAATTGGAAATAAAGGATCATCATTTGATGATGCTTTTATACATTTAGTCTGGAATGATTCTCACCTTGTTGTCATTTTTCTTCCTGCAGATCTTTGGGATGATCTTCAGCATGATGCTTTGCTGCGCCATCAAGAGGTCCAGGGATTTTGTGTAAACAGAAAAAAATGTATATTGTTTTATCAGACGACGTCATTTTTTTGTAACCTGCTGCTTCAGAGTGTAAACTATTTTAACGCTAGACGTCGGTCATTCTTTGGTTTGCTAGTTTAGGTTCATACAGGATGGTCCCATAGACCTGTGAGAGTATGAAGCTTCTGCACTGATGTCTTTGAATTCCTCTAAGTTTGGTTTGCAGGCAAATTATTTTTGTACACAAAAAGCTAAACTGAACTTATTTTTGTTTTTTGTTTACCAAAATCGAATAGAAAATTTTAGTTTTCAAGAAGAATGTAGGGAACCTTTAGAACTTTGCTTCCCTCTAGTGGACATGTCTGCCAATTTTTATTTTTTAAAATGTTAATATTCTGTTTTTGTTACAAAATGCACTAAAAGTAACTGTGCTAAAGCCTGTTTATTATTGGATTACTAAATGCTTTATTAGGACATGGTAAATATTTTTTTTAAAGCAAGAATTGTGGAATTTTATGCAAATATTACGATGAGGTTCACATGTTTAAGATGTAAAGTACCTAATAAACATGGATTTGTGTTACACAAAAGCAAACTTTTAATGTTTATTTTTAGTTTTCCAAAGACAATTCAAATCTTTGACAGAAGGAATGAAGAAAGTTGAGATTGCAAAGTTTGAATGGGTTTATGGCTGCAACTTATGGAGGACCAATCCTGCCATAATTAAAAATACATACAGAAATATATACAGAACTTAACATAAAATTGCTTGAAAAAGTAGCCAATAATTTGTGCCATTAAATGTGACACAATTATAAAAATATTATTTGCTACTTTTTCAAGCAATTTGTCCATTTATTTCTGCATTTTTTTTATCCTTTTTTTTATTAGATGTTTATTTTTATAATAAGTATTTTATAATAAGTAGCTTACCATTATTTCGCAAACAAATTAATCAGCCAAATTTTCCTAAGATTTTTTTTTCACTTGTGGAATTCTGGATAGAGCAGATTGACAAAAGTTTTTTTTTTTGTTTATTTTGAATGCAAAATGCTTTTTTTTTTTTTTTTTTTTTTTTTTTTTTTACAATTTTAGTATAATTACCGCTCTAAGGGCCGGATCTATCAAAGGTTTGCGTGTAT